ATTTCATGGAACCAAACTGAAGTACTGGTTTCGTGGAGCAAGAAAGATCAAATATTGGCAATTATATATGGTCCATCTTAATCAAAAGGAACCACAAACTACAATAATAAAGAGGCTGCTCGGATGAATTCCTATGTGGGAACTTAGAATCAGTCTCTGGATTTTAATTTCTGTTCATGATGTCACATCAAGGTGTCAGTTTTATCCCCATTTTACAGACAATAGCACTGGAGGTTCGCAGAGCATCAGCCAACTGCGCAGAGAGCTAGCGAGGGCAGCAAAGAGAAGTGCGCCAGTTTCTTTGGGCCTGAGGTTTGGATAATTTTCACTCTGCCGTGAACAGATTGTGGTTTATAGAGCCACGTTCTTTCTACCCTATGACCCAGTTCCTAGAGCCACACCTTAGATGCCCTCTCCGGTACAGTAACCACTGGTCCATGCCGTATTCTCTTCCTGAATTCATTTGCTCAGTCTCTGCAAAATCATCTCTAGGAATTCGACCTGTCTGTTGAGGTCCACTCTGAATGCATCCTGGTCTACGACCTTTCCCGAGTTCCTCCTCCTAAAGATATGATGGTATCTTCCTCCCAGGCTCACAGCCCTGGAACCCGGGAGCGTTAGCACATTCCAACTCTACCCTGAGCTCTTGCACATTCTTCCCTTGGAGAGGGAAAGGGCACATTTATTCTGTCAAAGATCCAAACCCCAAAGCAAACCATTGCCTTTGAGTCAATTCCAACTTACAGCAACTCTGTAGGACAGCGGAGCGCTTCCCTTCGAAGGCTTCTACGTCTGTAATTCGTTCCAGAAACCGACTGCTACATCTTTCTCCCACGGGGCACCTACTGGGTTTGAATTGCCAACTTTTCTGTTAGCCGTACAGCATTTAACCTTTATCCGTAGCACGACTGGGGCACCTTGTAAAGATCTTTTACTATGTATTTTAGGCTTTGTAAGCCATACAGGATCTGAAACAATGGCTCGATTCTTCCATCAACAAATGTTCATAAATACATGCATGGGCATGGATGCATTTCAATCAAATTCGACTTCCAAAACCTAGTGCTAAGTAGGATTTGGACTGTGGGGCTAGTTTGCTGATCCCTGTCCTTGCTTGTGCCTTGCTAAGTGTAAGGAACCTAGCCTGGCTTCTTTGTCACGCCTCTCTCCCCTTGCTGTGCTCTATCGCGCCACAGGCAGCACTCATAAATATTTTTAGAACTAAATTATTGATGGTTGGCATCAGAGATGCTCTCTGTTCACTCTTTCGGAGGGCCTGCAAGCTCTGGAGACCCTTGTCCTCCCGTGAGTGTTGTCTGCACATGCCACTGTGTGGTCATGACCTCTTGACCTAAGGTTGATTTCCCCATGGGCTCAGCACCTTTCCCTGGAAGCTTCAAAGGCAGGCAAACTTCTAAAGAGCCATAAAACCGCGTATTTGTCACCTCCTTCTCCCTTCAACTTGGGGGAACCCCTGTAAAGTTGGCACTTGCAGGACATCACTGTTCAGCTGGGCTGGGGCTAATGCAACAAAGGAAAGGAGACAGCCATTTCTGATTCTAAAGAAAAGAGAAAAGTGGGTTGAAGGTACTGAAGATGTCCACAGGGATGTTTCTCTTCTTTTAATTAGCTGGTCAGTGAATGTCATGTGATCTGTGATGGAGAGTCCCTCAAGGTCTTCATTTGTGAATTTAGTAAGGTCCTACACAGGGTAAGTAGGAATCTTTGTGGCGAAACGGTTATGTGTTGGGCTACTAGCTACAAGGACAGCAGTCTGGATACACCAGGCACTCAGGAGGAGAAAGACGAAGCTTTCTCTTCCCATAAGGAGGTACAATTCTGGAAACCACAAGGCAGTTAGTTCTCCTCTGTCCGATAGGAGTGCTATGAGTTGGAATTGACTCAATAGTAGTACGTTTGGAGTGAGTGGTAGGGAGTTTCATGTAGGGTGTCTTCAAATCCTTTGTGTCCTCTCACAGGGTTGATTCCAACTCGACAGTGGCTCAACCGCACAAGACTCCCAAGCAGCCCTGGGGGAACAACGGTTATACGGTTATACGCTGGGATGCAGTCCACAAGGCTGGCAGCTCGACATGACAAGCCGCCCTGCAGGAGAGACGCCGGGCTTTCTACGTCCAGAAAGAGTGACAGTCTCAGAAACCCACCCTGTCTGTTCTAGGGGTCGCTGCCAGTCGGCCCTCAACTCAATGTCAATGAGAGTGAGTGCAACTCCCCCCACCCTTTTTCTTTTTAAAAATAGATTTGTATTCTTTTAAATCAGTTTTAAGATTACAGCAACATTATGCAAAGAGAGAAGCGGCCCCATGTTCTCCCTCTCACCCTGCAGAGACTCCCATTAGTAATAAGCTTGCTTTTGTGTGGTAGCCATGTTACAACAGATGAGCTAAGAGTGATGCATTATTATGGACTTTAGGCTTCCCACCGGCCAGTCCCTCCTGTAGAAACTCTCTTTTTAATAGCATCTGATGTATTTTATGTTCGCCTTCGTGCTCCAAGTTCCTGGGCTCACACAGTTTACAGTAGCCTACCTAGCCTTCCTTCTTACTCATTGGTTGGTCTTGAACTAGGTGAGCTCTGACTCATCTGTTCTAACCTGTCACGTGATAAGATAGAGACGGTGTAAGTACCACTGACGGAGTCATCCATCAATTTGTGACAAGAAGACACATATGAGAATATAAAGACAAAGTCCCCAGGGATATGTAGTGGCCGGCAACTGGCTGAGTTATTATCTATTTTTATGCGGTTCCTTCTACTCGGGGATTTTGATTAGAACATTGATATGAAAAGTGGGGTGTGTTTAAGCGCAAACTGAAGAATAACTCATTTGGGAAGTTTAATGATAAAAGTAACAGGTGATTGATGAGTCCTCTGAGCCTGCCACCCGAGGGACTGCACCTTACTTAAGCAGGCGACCAAATCCACTGTTTTGGGAGAGATTGCATATCGACGCCAAGGATTAGGGACAACCTAGTTGAACCGAGTTAAGAACATCTTACTCTTTGCTGCCCAAGCTTCCAGGCTTTTCCATTCTTGACCACTGAGGATTCTGGGCATAATATGACCCTGCTTGTTGTTAACCCCGCCCACACCATCAGTCTCTGTCCTGGACCCTCACCTAATGCTTCAAGGCTTTCAGAAGTGTCTCATGAGTGAGCTTCAAAAAGTTCGTGGGAAAATTCCTTAACCTTTCATTTCAGCGTCCACACACTTTTAAAAGTTCCTCACCAGCCCTCACCCCCCCTTGTAGACAGTTATTTTAAAGCCTGAGAGATCTCTTGGTAAGCCTTCTGTGTCCCCTCCCCCAAATGTGTCAACTTGACTGGGCCATGACATCCAATGGTTTGGCAGTTATATGATGATCTAATTTGGCAGTTATGTAACCCTGGCAATGATGTAATCATCCCACATGTTAAGATCTTAACGGGATCCGCCAAGGGGACTAAGGATGAACACAACTCATTTACTCAGGTCTCAACCCTGATCTGTCATCAGGATGGTTTCCCTGGGGTATAGTCTATTATCACTTTTTATCTTAGAAACCATGAAAGAAGTTAGAAATAAACATAGAAAGAGAAGCCTAATTATCACCAAGAAAAAAGAATTAGGAATGGAACATATTCTTTGGACTCAGGGTCCCTGCGCGGAGACCCTCCTAGACCAAAGGGATAACTGATGTCAAAACACATGGAGATCTTCAAGGACCACCACGCTCACAGATATGGAGAGGAGACAAGGTCTTCTGCCCACAGCCAGCAGAGCTGATTTCCAGCCTCCTACACATCTGATCATTGGAACTATCCACTTGTGGTATTTCTGTTAAAGCAGCACTGGATCACGAAGACACCGAGCAAACTGCTTTCTGCAGCAACCCTGTTTGCACGCCGGCACGAAAGCTGCTACAGTACTTGCCTTTAAAATGGATCCATGTTTCTATACCCAGACCAAGTTGTATTTCTACTGCTGTCAAAAGCAGACCATTTGATCACCAGTATTGATCAGTATTTATTAGCATTATCTAAGACAACCCCAAAACACTAATGATAAAAATTATCCTCCCACACCCTCTTTGCTTCTTGTCCTGTGTGTCTAGCTACTTAGAAATATAACTCGTAATCAAACCACAGGACAAGGCCATCTATTTCTGCCCTACTCCCTAAATCAACACCCCTGCCTTGTGGATAGGCAGCAGGGAAGGAGAATGGGATGCATGAGAGGAGAGGGTTGGGAAGCAAAGCAAAGCCCACATTCAGTAGGACGAGGGTTGACGTTACTCACATGTGTTGGGAAGCATTGGGGTACAGTTTTGAAAACTGTGGGGCCGAGTCCTCGGGGCCGTGGGGTGCTGCGTGGCTGATCACCATCATAATGGGCCTATGGGGATACATTCTCTTAGACATTTTGAAGTAATTAATGCTCTCGTTAGTGATTAAGTCTGTGAAGTAGTCCTGAAACATACATTTGACACAAAACAACAATTACAAAAGGTGACATTCATCAGATCACATTTGAATACTGCTTTCCTGAGAAGCAAAACTCACTGAATGAAAGGGTTAAGGCCTATAGGCAGGAGGAAGACTTTACCTCCCAAGGCAGCAAAAGACCTTGAACAGAGAAAATTCAGGTGCCCCTTACTTTCTGGGGGTTGCTGGCTGGTTAACATGCAAACATCTTACTTTATAATGCACAACTTAGCAATTAGAAAAGAAAAAAAAAAAGACAAGCCATGATCAGATTTAGCAACACACAGGATATCCACTTCATTCTCAGGCTTTGCTGGCGTAATTCATTGACAAACATCTTTGATTACTTCAAGGGCGGTAAACACCCACAGTTGCAAGACACATACATGCATGTGCACACACGCATACGCACAAATGAAATTTTTTCTTCATTTAAAAATTCACCTGTGGGGATTACCTAGTAATCACTCATCGAAGCCAGTGCCAAAATCTGGGTGCATGGAGGAGAACTGCAGTATTTTATCAATTAATTTTACTTTGAAACACTAAGTTGGGGGAGACTCTGATTTCCTGCAGATTATACTCTGTTAATTGCACAACTAAAGCGATGCAGCTGCCGGGATCCAAGCCTGACTTGTTAATAAAATGACTTAATGTGGAGTCAGTGGGAGTTGGGGGAGGGCTGCTGGAAGGGAGGGAGGGAGGAAAAGGAAGGGGAGGGAAGATAAAGACTTAAATTAAACCACCTGTTCCTCTAAGTGGCTATCACAGGCCTGGAGCTGCCGGATCAACTTCATTCAGAAAGCGCCCGGGCAATGCTCAGGATGTCAAGGGATTCCAGGCATGACGAATCCCATGTGGATTCAAGGACCCGAGCAGCTGCACAAGCAGTGCGGGAGGGATGAAGTCTGTCACGCTGTCATTGTAAGGGCCAGCCTAGAGGCTGTCACCTTTTCCCGTGAGGCGATCGGGTTCGTTCCTGTCCTCACTTAAAAGATAGAGATGCTTTCTGCACACACGACTCTTTGGCCCGTAATCAGCTGTGGTGATGGGAATGCACTGCTGCTTTAGATTCGGAGGGAATTGTGATTACCTTGCCCTCCTCGGGACAACCGGGAAAGAAAGGTTAATAGCTTGAAATATAGCTTGAAGAGGGGCGTGCAAGCCTCCCTATAGATAAAACAAGACAGCAGTGACAAGGAAGGTACGCTGTATGAATCCTGTGCGTGCATCACAACGGGGCCACGGCCTGTGTGAGTGGTTGAGCCAACCGGGGCTTCATTTCCTTCGTCTTTTAAAATGAGGGCACTGCTCACGCTGCCCTCCAAGGTCCCCTCCTGCTCTCAGCTCTGAAGAGCTTAATAATAATTGTGGATTCATTTGCATTCAGAGTTTTCTGAGGGCATATGAAAGGTCAGAATTCATACCTTAATCTCCAAACAAGTCTCTTGTGCTCAAATCTGGCGAAGTGTAAAGACACCGATGTCCTCAAATTAAATCAAGTTCCCTGTCTGCACTCACTACCTATTGATTTTTTTCTTTCTCTCTATAATTGTAGTCTTTCTGCCAGATAGCACAGTCTCGGCTTTCTCTCAGATAATGAAGGAGGAGCAGGGTCTGGCTAGAAGACTGAGAGACAGTCTAGGCTGGACTGGCAGGCTAAACTCAAAACTAGTCTCCCCTTATGCTTATAACAAAAAAAAAAAATCAGTTTCACATTGACAATCACAAAGGCTTTGTGAATTTTTAAATCTTATAGCATTCAGTTGCCGGGGTTCAAGGACCTCAGAGCATGCCTGGGCATGGGGAATTTCTCTCAGATGATTTGGAAACCCTCAGATGGCGGGCACAAGAGACATTTGTGGACCCTCTGCCATGGGACAGGTATCCTTGTCCCATCTACTGGGCTTGGTCAGACTGATGAAGACAAGTAACGCGCTTTCCTTCCCAGCCTTCGGACATTGCTCTTTCTTGTCTGGCTTTATTTCTACATCTAAATCGGAACACATTGGCAAAGTATACGCTCAAGTTCAATGAATAAGAAAACCAGGCAAGATGAACATTTGATAGTGTAGACAGGGTCGTCTGAGGGGGGACTTGCCTCCTCCCCAGCAAAAACTGTCACAACAGAGATCGGGGGCATCCACGATTTTCTTGACGACCCTTTCATCAGAGGCTGATTGCCTTTCATCTTAATGAGTTACAAACATCTCTAGACAAGGGCAGTGGTCCCTGAGTCTTTTCCTTGCCTGGAGTTTAAAGGGCTCTGCATTTCTTGTTCTAATAATGTGAGAACATAGAAAGGCTAATCCGGAGGCTGGGTTAGCTCACTGGAAATGGCTTTCCTCCCATTATGCACAAAGAAAATTGATGCAGTGTAAAAGTCCTGAAAATTACCTTTGCATAATCAAATCCATGTTTTTCTTTGATGCCGTTGCGACAAACAGTGTAATTATAGAAACGAGAATTCTTGATTAAGCCAAGCCACTCTCGCCACCCAGGAGGGATATAGCTGCCGTTGTACTCATTGAGGTACTTTCCAAAAAAGGCTGCAAAGGGAAGGGGAGGGAAAAAAGGATTCTTGTTGCCGATGAAATAATTAATCATAAATGTGTGAATACTTTAAGGTGAGATAATGACTTCAAGGAGAGAGAGTAAAGCAAAAGTTCACACAGGTGCAATAGCTAATGACGTAGATGCATTTTTCTTATGAGTAAATGAAAGTACTACCCAAGTCCAAGTTCAGTAGAATCGTCATAATGATCACAGGAGTCTAGTTACTTCTATTTCTTGTCGTTCTACAGAAGCAAAAGCAAAATGTACTCTTGTGTTAGGTTGAGGTTGCAATCAGGGATTGTAGCCCGTGTGAAATTTGTAACGCTGCTACTAAACAAGTATAGGTGAGCTGAAACGTTCAACTTCTTCATGAACCACATTCCTTAACTCAGTGTGTAAGGTTGACTTTAAAAAGCATTGAAAATTTTTGGGGTTTTTTTGCATACCCAAAGAGAATAAAATTTCTAAACCCAAGAACCATGGTAAAACTTCACATTTTATGGGACATGATCATGATTTGTATGTCATGTATGTATTTTGTGGCATGGGTGTTTATGTCATGTGTATTTTATGTACATCTATTATTAATGATCAAAACTTCTGTCAATCCAGGGTTATAGCATAGATGACTAGGAGTCCCTGGGAGGTGCCTTGGCTGCTAATCAAGAAGCTGAAGGTTCAAGTCTACGTTGAGGTGCTTTGGAAGAAACATCTGATGACCTAGTTCTGGAAAAAAATAAAATAAAATCCCCCAAACCACCATTAAAAACATAATGGGGTAAAGGTCTAATCTTACACATATGGGTTTGCCATCAATCAAAACCAAGAGGACTGCAACTGGTTTTGGTTACTTAAATGCAAGGAGAAACGTAGTTTCTGGAAGACTGTTTTGAGAAGTACTAACTGATGATGAAACCAGATCCCAAATTAAGGCATTTTATTAGTATTGCTATTCAAGCATGCATTTCAGAATCTGTACCTTATCCAATGTTTCTAATGGGACAGTTATTTAACTTCCTCTCATATTTGATATACAACTATTCCTTAACTCAGTTGTCCAAAATCAGAAAGAATCCTCCTCCTCCACACCTTCCAATTTAATTATCTTCTCAGATGCCCTGAATTTCTCTTCACGGCATAAGCCTGTTAACCAACCTTGGCACCTCTGAGACGCTTGTGAGCCCATGTGCTCCTGTAGATTTTCCCGCTGCAATTGGTCTCCCATCGATTCCCCTTTCTGTAATCCCATGGAGACACTGGCCAACATTCAAAGGCCAGGCTAAGGGACCTCTCCGCCCCCACCGTCACCCGTCATTCCTTCGGGAGCCCCGTTCTGCTCACACTAGCCTTCTGCTCAACTCTCAGGAAGACCCTCGCTGCTCACAGAATACGTTTGAACTCACTAGCTTGCCATCAAGGTCTACCAAGACCAAATCCCCCTTTCAAACGCTATCTCACATTTCTCAGTTAATCGATCTTTCCAGTTAATTTTTGCCCTGTGAATCTCCACCTCGATGCTTTCAATGCTGTTCCTTCTATTGCACTCTCCATGTACCCTCCAAAGTGATGCCATTTCCCAGAATGCCTATAGGCTTCAGACCCACAGCACACATTTTTATGCCTCTACTGTTATCTTCTCCTTTTGTCTGTGCTGTAGGGTGTGCTCCTATATCAAGCATAAAACAAGTTGCCATCAAATCCAGTAGACCCAGGGTGACCCATGCGTTTCCAAGTAGAAACTCTGTGGTTTTCACAGCTGATCTTTCAAAGTAGCTCTCCAGGCTCTTCTTCCAAGATGCCTTGGGGTGAGCAGCCTAACATGTGAACCGTGGGCACCACTCCAGGGCATATATAGGACCATCAGAGTCTTGAGGACAAACATTGTCTCTTTTTGTTGGATCCTCCCCATCTCCTTGTACATAGTAGAGGTTTCACAGTTTCCTGTTTCTTGAGCTGGGGTTCATGGACTCAATGTATTTTAGGATTCACTAGGAGCTAGATTGCTTCAGTTCTGGGGGGTTTGTTTTCATTTGAATGCTGATTTTTTTTTTTTTTTTTAAAACTGATTTGGTTCTATTTCGGAAGTTGGCATTTCTTTGTTTTCTTTGGAAAGAGTTTGGCTTTGAGTTTGAGAAACACAGCAGTACTTGCGTATTTGTTGAATAAATATTTACTAATTGCCTCAGTGAATGAGTGGATCAATCAAATAAATCAGCCAACCACCTACTGCTCGAGATTTCCAAGGGTCCCCGAGCAGGACCCATGGCAGACAGGACCTTGCTGGGTGTCCCAGTTCTTTCCTCTAGCTTACTCTCCATCCTGACAGCTTAGGCCATGCCTACTGCCGTCTACTTGATTCTGACCCAGAGCAAACCCGTAAGACATGACAAAACTGGGTTCCCAAGGCTGAACTATCTATGGAAGCAGACGGCTACACCTTTCTCCCATGGAACAGGGGGTGGCTATGAACTGCAACACTTGGGTAAGCAGTCACAGGTTAACTGAGATGCCACTAGGATGCCCAATACATAGGGAAAGGTGGAACCTTTTTTTGTTGTTGTTTGTTGTTGTTCTCATTTTGTTCTCAAAGAAGTAAAGAGCACAGTGGTTAGAAATGCAAACCCTGGCACCAGCCTGCCTGGATTCAAATTCTGATGTTGCTGCTTGATAGCTATACATCCATGGGTAATTTACCTAACCCCTTTCTGCCTCCTTCTCTGTAACAAAAGGATGGCAATAGTGGCAGGGATGTTGTGAGAATTAAATGAGTTAATATACTTAAAACAGGGCCTAGCATCCAACAAAGGCTTAGTAAGTTTCACTTAGTAAGTACTACCAAAGGTTGTCCCTTAGTAGGGACTAGGGTTGGAGCAGGTTCACGTAAGTCCACCCAGAGGTGCTTAGGAAGACAAGCCTCACCCTAACTGCTGAACCACTAGCCATTAAAAAAGCTGATGGAACCCAGTTCAACGATGACCTCTATGGGATTGCCATGATGTGAAATCAACTCAACTGCAATTGGGCAAGAGCTGTTGAGATTACTATTGTTACCAGCACCACCATCATCCGTGTCTACTCGATTCTGCCTTCTGGTTTTAAATAACTCACCATTATGTATAAGTTCTGCACCTGCTCATTTAAAAATCCTTCTGGAGCTAGTAGAGCCTTTATTTTATTTCCCCAATCTGACTCATGGGGGTGGGCACAACAAATTCTCCCCCACGGGGCTTCCATGGTCCTCTCTTTATTCTGACTGCTGCCTTCAGTTTTCATTGATGTCTGTACTTCTCTTCCTTCTCAAAGAGCCATGCCAAGTCACTCCTGCCTCCCTCTCTTGTTCGACTTCTTAGATTATTTTGTAGTGTTTTCCACGCATCGCCATGGCGATTGCCCTTTGCCTTAATCTTCTTTCAAATGATTCCTTTGAGTCTCTTAATAGCCCTTTGCTTCAGGACTCCCTCCAGCTTTTCAGTATCTTTATATTAATGGGGTGTAAAAAATGTTCCCAGTATTCCAGATGTGTTCTCACCCGAACACGTTCCAAGACTGGCCATTACCTCTGGAGTCACAAGGCAACACCTCTGTGTTCACCGCCTCAAGTTACTCCAGCCTCTCTTAGCGCCTTTGGCCTTGAGACTCATTTGTAATCACCCCTGGCCCCTTTCCGTGTTTCCTGGCAGTGCTCTGCAATTGATTATCTGGGCGTCTAATTATTTTCCTCCAGATGTAGTAAATCTCTTTTTCCTCCTTCAAGTGAATTCCAGTTCCTTGCCCATGTTGTCAGCATTTGAGGCATCATTTATGTGTAGGCTGAAGCTTCTCTATCCTTTAGTATTGGTGATGAAAGCCGACTTAGTGCTTTCTGGGTACAGCATGAATGCATCGCTTACCTGTCATCTAGAACGCTTTTTTTGGGGGGTTGAAGTGGGGGCGGGGGGCATTGTTAAACACGTCCCTTTACAGCTCTTTAAGTAGGGAGGAAACTTGGAAGAAAGATCAGAGTATAGTCTTTGTTGTTTTAGACCATGTTACTTTGCCCAGGACTATCTGCTGCATAATACTTTAAAATTTTTCTTATACTACCGGAATCAAAAGCATCAATTCATAAACCAGCAATAGTAATAGTAATGTAAGTAATAGTAATAGTGATGTAAGTATATTGATGCTATAGAAGTCAAATACTAGTCCATATAACAGATGAGTCAAATTTTTACTCCATGTAACTGATGGATTGGGGGTGACCGGACTTCTAAAAATATATATCATTTTGAGTCAGGTTAAAATGCTATATGATTATGTCAGCTTGTGTATATGTCTGATTTTTCCCAACTAGCTTCTAAGTTTAGTAAAGGTAAGGATTATACTTATATTTTTCGTAGCCCACAGGTGCCCTGGTAGTACTGTTGGGTAAGTGTTGGATTGCACACACACCACAAAGGCAGCAGTGTAAAATGACCAGCCTCTCTGAGGAAGAAAGATGAGACTATCTGTTTACATAAAGGATTACCGCCTCACGTTTAAACTTTACATAGGGTCGCTATGAATCAGGATTGACTCAACGGCAGTGAGCTTGCGGATCCCAGCCGAATGTCTAGTGCAGTTCCAAGCACGGGGAACAACGCGTGGTTGTTCCATGTAGTTCACCAAGTGTATGCTATGCCTTCTATGTCTGCTGTGGACGTTGCTGTTGAAGGTCGAGAATATTAGAATTCATAAAAAGAATGCTAGTTTGTCTTGCTTTGAGCCTTCATTAAAAAAATTATTGGGGAATACATATACATGACTTATTATAAATAATAGAAATGTTTTATAACCTAAACCACAATACCTATTGCAGTCGCATCCATTGTGACTTAGAGGGACAGAATAGAACTGTTAATCTTTACACAAGTCGTTGACCTCATCTATCGCTCGGGGAGCAGCTCAATGGCAAATTCAAACCACTGATGTTTCAGTAGCAGCCCAATGCTTACCCTGCTTCACCTCCTGCGCT